AAAAAAAAAGGGAAAACTAAAGAGGGAAGGGATGAAAATTAAGGAAAGAAAAAACAGAACAACAGGAGAAAGAAGGGAAAATTAAAGAGGAAAGGGGGAAAAATAAACGAGGAAGGGAAATGGGGGAAAACTAAGGAAAGAAAAACCAGAACGGGAGACAGACAGGAAAAAGAAGGGAAAAATAAAGAGGGAAGGGGGAAAGGAAGAAAAACTATGGAAAGAAAAAAACAGAACAACAGGAAAAAGAGAGGAAAACCAAAGAAGGAGAACAGGAAAATCCAGCAGAACGAGGGGAGGAGGCCGCCGGTGTCCGGCAGGCACCGCGGGACCCCCGGAGCCGGAGCGCTGAGGCCGCGGGTTCGAGTCCCGGGCGCGGCGCTTCGGGACGGCCCGAGCGGTACCGGGGAGGGAACCCCGCGGGTGTCGCCGCCGCTGTCGCCGGTGCTCACCGTGACGAGCACGCAGTGCAGGTCTGCGGGTGGGTCGGGGCCCGCGGCGGGCAGCAGCAGCTGCGCCAGGCGGGCCGGGTTGCTGACGCGCAGGATGTTGATGTCGTTCTCGCAGCAGAAGGCCCGCAGCAGGGTGAAATGGATCTGCAGAGCCGCGTCCCCCGCCTCCTCCTCCTCGGCCGCCAGCAGGCACAGCACAACGTTATCGGGGTCCCTGCGGGGCACCGGGGTCACACCGGGCACGGGGCACCGGTGAGGGGGTACCGGGGGATGGCAGAGGGGCACTCACACGTTGAGCAGCTTGGCCGCCTCGTAGACGCCCAGGGTGAGGCTCCGCTGGCTCAGCGCCTTGCTCAGCACCTCCTCGAGCGCGTCCCCCGCCTGCTCCATCCTGCGCCGGGACACGCGGCACCGGCCGTCACCGGCCAACCCCGCGCCGCTCCCCGCCCGGCACCCGCCGCCCCCCCCCGGCCTCACCTCCCGGCGGCGCGGCGCTCCCCGGGCAGCTCCTCCAGAGTCATCACGGGGACAGGGCCGGGCAGGAGCAGGGACACCGGGCACGGACACCGGGCACGGACACCGGGCACGGACACCGGGCACGGACACGGGGCACGGGCACGGCCGCGCTCCGGCCGCTCCGGCGCCGCCGCCTCTGCCGGACAAAGGCGCCCCGCGCGCGCTACCCCGCCCGCCCCGGCCAACCCGCGCCGCCCTCATTTGCATACCCGGCTCCCATTGGTTCATGCAAATGAGAGACCACGCCCATCGCTGAGAGAGTCCGGCCGGGCCTGACCCCGCTCGGGAAACGGGAATGGGAGCGGGAATGGGACACGGACACGGACACGGACCAGGCTGCCCCAAACCCATCCAGCCTGGCCTTGGGCACTGCCAGGGATCCAAGGGCAGCCACAGCAAATCTGGGAATTCTATTCCAGCCCCTCCCCACTCTCCCAACCAGGAATTCCTGCCCAATATCCCATCCATCCCTGCCCTCTGACAGCAGAAACCATTCCCTGTGTGCTGTCCCTCCCTGCCTTGTCCCCAGTCCCTCCCCAGCTCTCCTGGAGCCCCTTCAGGCCCTGCCAGGGGCTCTGAGCTCTCCCTGGATCCTTCTCCTCTCCAGGTGAGCACCCCCAGCTCTCCCAGCCTGGCTCCAGAGGGGCTCCAGCCCTGCAGCAGCTCCGTGGATTCCTCTGGAGTCTCTCCAGCAGCTCCAGCTCCTCCTGCTGCTGTTCCCCAGGGCTGGGGCAGCTCTGCAGGTGGGGCCTCACCTGAGAGGGGCAGTGGGACAGAATCCCCTCCTTCCATGGATGCTGTTCCATCTTCCCTGCCTCCATAGGGATTGCACTCCTGCAATGCTCCTTGCATTGCTCAGGACACTGCCTCACCACCCTTCAGACAGAGTTTGTCACAGCCAACAACGTCCCTGGATCCCTGCAAATGTCCCAGACCAGGCTGGACACTGGGGTTTGGAGCAGCCTGGGACAGCAGGAGGTGTCCCTGCCATGGCAGGGGTGGCACTGGGTGATGTCTGAGCTCCCTCCTAACCCAAACCAGGCTGGGATTCTCTGATCTCTCCCTTTGCAGGTTTTTGTTCGGTAGCTCTCCGGGAAGCTGCTCCCACTCCAGATGTCCCGTGTCAGCTCTGCAGAGCTGCAGGAAGGATTTCTCCTCACGGCTGCTGTGTCAAAGCTTTCTCAGCTGTTGCACCCAAACCCCTCCACCCTCCCACAGCCGGTGCCAGAGCTCTTTCCCAGCCTGGCTGTGGGCTGGCACATTCCCACTGAGGGACCCTTGGTGGTCCCTCACGGAGATTTTGGCAGCGTGTGCTTGAAAGTTTTGCTTGTGTCAGTGTTTTCCTGCAGCTCCTGGACACCAGGAGCCATTTTCCCCTTCAGTGTTTGCTGAAGCACCATGTGCAGAGCGATGCCAGGCTCCGTGCAGAATCACTGAATTTGGGAAATGAGAAATCCCAGAATCCTGGAATGGTTTGGGTTGGAAGGGACCCCAGGGATCGTTTTGTTCCACCCCCTGCCATGGCAGGGACACCTCCCACCATCCCAGGGTGCTCCAAGTCTGGAACAGCTCAGGGATGTAAGAAAGCGTTTTTATGGCAGAATAAAGGGGGTGATTCCCGTACCCCCAGGTTGTGTCAGCTCCGAGAAGAAACTTCCCAGGGGTTTTTTCTGCAAGTGTCCCCGGCTCAGCTCTGCCCCCATCCTGCTGCTGCAGCCTGACGAGACCCGACACGACTCAACGAAACCCACGGCAGAAAGGGGGGGAAAAAAAAAAAAAAAAATCCCTTTTTGCATCAGGTGGAGGGGTGGCAGATGGCCGGACCGCAGCAAAACAGGTGGGAGCATTGTGTGGTGACCCTCCGAATTAAGTTCGCTTAATTTGCTGTATCTCTATTAGCAACTGCAGGCTCCGGCTCCGCCTGTGGCTCCGGCCCCGCAGCCCCATCTGTGCCGGTCCCAGAGCTAAATCTGTCTCGGAGGCAGCTGGGAAGCAGCTGAAGCTGAAGCTGAAGCCTCTTTTCTCTCTCCTGGGCGGCAGCAGCTCCTGGAGCCGGCAGGCAATGCTCGGGAATTGCGTTTTCCCCGCAGGTTTCCCGGCTGGGCGCGGTTTTCCCGTGTGTCCCTTTTCCCGGAGGAGCAGCAGCGATGCTGGGTGCCTTGGGACACTGGGTGGCCGTGCTGGGGCAATGTCGTGGCTGCTGGTCTGGGCAGCCCGGGATGGAGCCGGACCCGCAGTTGTCCCTCCGTCATTTCCCAGCTGGCAGCTGCTGCTGAACCTTCCTTTCATCGCCTGCCAAAAAAGCGGCCGGGCTGTTTTGCTCCCCCCCCTGCCCTTTAATCCTGACTTTCATCATTCTCCAGGCTGTGCCTGCTCTCCCCTCCGTGTTCAGCATCACAGTCGGGGGTCAGGAGTTGTGTCTGGGCTCACCCCAAATGTTCTTTGGGCTGCCCGTGGTGGGAGGCAGCTTGGAGAGCAATGGGTTAACCCGCAGGGATGTGGGAGCTGCTGCGCTGGGGAGGATGTCTGGGCCAGCTGCAGAGAGTGCTTCCTGCACGTAAGAGCATCGAGTTGTTTAATTTCAGTTTTTGGGAATGAGACCAACCATCAAACAGTGTCAGTGAGGGCTGACAAAGCCCCATCCCTGCCGGAGCCAGGGCCAGGGCCCTTCCCTGGGGCTGCCTCGGGGTGGTCCCGGCCCCTGAGCCCCCCGGAGCAGAGCCAGGGACTTCTGCTCCCCTTCCCCTTGGCTGTCCCTTGTTTGGGTGGCCCTGATCCCTTCCCTTGCTCTCCGTCCTTGGCCCATCCCACGCGGGACCTTTGTCCAGCCCCGCTGGCCCTTTGACCATCCCGCTGCTGGGAAAATCCCGCTGTGTCCGTGTGCTGGGGCACCCCACCCGTCCCCTGGGCACCCCACTCGTCCCCTGGGCACCCCACCCATCCTCTGAGCACCCCACCAGTCCCCTGGGCACCCCAGGCTGCTGTGCCAGGGCCCCTGAGCGTTCCCAATCCCCTCTGGATCTGCTTTTGCCGCTGCTGTTTTGCAAAGCAAACGCCAGCTTGCACATTCCAGGGGCGGCCTCTGCTCCAAGAGTCGCTGTTTTTCCCAGTGCCACCAGTTCCGTGTCACCGAGCTGACCCCAGCCCGTGGCCCAGCTCGCTGCTGTGTCCAGGCACATCCACCCTCCCAGGGCAGGGCATCCCGCCCCGGAGCCTTGCAAGAGAGAATCCCCGGGCTCTGGAAGCCAGGAAAAAAACTTTGTTTGGAGCCTGGGATTGCCGCAGGATCCACCCTGGCACCACCGGTGCCATGTCCCCTCCAGCACAAGAGCAAAATGACATTTTTCCCTTGTTTTCCTCGCTCCATCCCTGATGGAACTGGAAGCAGGGCCACCCCTGCTGCTGCTCGGGTTTGACTTTGGCCAGAGCCGGCAGCGCTCGGGGCAGCCGGGATGTCTGGAGCCGGCTGGGCTTGGCTCTGGAGCCGGGCACGGTGCCAGCAGCTTTCCCAACCGCCCAGGTCACGGCAGTGCAGCCGAGAGCCCGGCTGGGTGGCACGGGGCAGGGATGGCACTTCCCTGGCACAGCCACTCGCCTCCTGCCCTGCCCTGCAGGCTCCTGGCTGGGGGTTTTACCTCTCCCAAAATTGGGGGATCTGGAGGATCTGGGATGTGTTTGTCCCACTCGTTTTGGCAGCACTCAGCACATTCCTGCGGGGCTCCGTGGTGCTGGAACATCGCTGGGCGTCCCTGGCTGCAAACAGAGAGCCTGGGGGTGCTTTAATGGCTTTAAACTGAAGGAGGGGAGATGGAGATTAGAGATTAGGAGGGAATTCTTGGCTGTGAGGGTGGTGAGACCCTGGCAGCTGTGGCTGCTCCATTCCTGGAAGTGCTCAAAGCCGGCTTGGAGCAGCCTGGGATAATGGGAAGTTCCTGCCTGCTCACCAGGGGAGTGGGTCTGGGTGAGCTCTAAGGTCCCTTCCAGCCCACACCATTCCAGGATTCTGTGATTTTATGCATCACCCATGTCCCCCCACCCTTGGCAGCTGCTGGAATCTCTTTTCCTCCCCCAGTCCTTGAGGTGCTGGCCCAGCAAGTCCTGGCTCAGCTCCCAGCAGTTCCTGGTGCCTTTAAATCCAGGGCAGCAGAGACCTGTGCTGCTCCTGGCAGGGACATTCCCCTGCCCTGCATGCATTCCTCCATTCCTTCTCCCTGCAGGAACAGGAGTTTTTCCCACCCTGTTCGTGCTGGGCACAGGGAGCAGCCCCGGCTGCTGGTGGGAATCATCCGGCCAGGCAGCACCGGGCAAAGTCCACGATGGGGACAGCGAGAGCTGCAGTAAAATAAAAACAAACTTTGTCCGTTTAATGGCAGCGTGGGGCCATAAACCAGCACGAGTGGCACTTCTGAGAGGGAACGCTGTCCTACAGCACAAGGAATCATCTTGGAGACAGCCAGCAGCCCCATCCTGCCTCCCCCAGGGAAGTTCCCAGTTTTCCAAGTGCTTTGCTTTCCCCGTGCATGCAGGGGAGCTCTGGTATGAGCAGAGGGAGGGCTGGACCCCCCCAGAGCAGCCCCCAGTTGTGCACAGGGAGTCAGGGAGCTGGGGTGGTTCAGCCCCCAGTCACAGTTACCTCCACTGGTGTTCCTGTGGCCAGTGGGGAGCTCGGGGGGGTGGGGGTTAAATCATTAATCTGAATTAGTTTTGTTTCCTATAAATGCATGGAGTGGGAAGAGTGTTTGGAAAGCAAAGGGGAAGGACCTTGGAGTGAAGCCCAGAGTTTGATGGTCATTGGAGTAGAGATAATGAAACCGAGGTGTTTATTTCAAAGTAGATTTTAAAATATAAATTAAAATATATAACATAAAATGTATATAATGCTTATGAGACCGTATTTCAGAGCTTCCTCCAGCCCTGGGATCCAACATCAGGAGGAGCTGGAGCTGCTGGAGAGACTCCAGAGGAATCCATGGAGCTGCTGCAGGGCTGGAGCCCCTCTGGAGCCAGGCTGGGAGAGCTGGGGGTGCTCACCTGGAGAGGA